TCCGAGTCTCGGACGGCGTGGAGCGAGGGCGAGGCGGAGGAGGAGGGAAGAAAAGAAAGCAAAGAGGGACGGGTCAAGGACACAGCCGAGCAAGGACGTGTGGGCAAGGAGGGATCAGTCTCGGATCGGTGTTTCTCGTCCCGTGGGAAGGCCCTTCCCTTCCGCTTGGCTGGTGCCGAGGGTAGCGACCTAGCCGCCGGTCAAGTGAGTGAACAAAGGGAGGAGAGGGTGGACACGGAGGCGTCGCGCGACCTGGGCGGCATTGGGAGGGACGTGCAGGGGAAGGGCCATCAGAACAGGGACGATAAGGGAGAAGGCAGGGAAAGGGGGGGTGAGGTACAGGTTTTCGACGAAGCTGAAGCGGTTGATGGGCTCGATACGGCGGGTCTGAGCACTGGGGATATGATATGTCCCACGAAAATAGTGTCGTGCGAAGAAGAGAGGGCTGGGGCGCCCGAGGACAGTGAGGGGGGCACCCCTTCACAGTGAGAAGGGGACCTCGGTAGGTGAGTTTAGACGAAGGAAAAAATGCGTGAGTTCGAAGCAACGTGGGCACCTCACGCGTCAATGTTTGTCTCCTTGTTCATTTGGCCACGAATGGTAGATTTCTCCCTTTATGCAATATTACTGAGTCTTTGATGTTGGAAAACTGCCTGTTGGCCCATTTCTTGTCCGAGGCCGGCTGGAAAATGCTGGGATCACAGCCACACGTTCCAATATGCCCTACCTTGAGAGGGAAATGTCTTTGTATACTTTGTCACACAACACCTCCACGAACCCAAAGAAAAACTTAAAAAACATGTGCATTTCATGCTATGGCGACTCGCGAGCGTTACTGGTTCCTGTCACGTGAGCTGTGCATTTCTATACGCCCTCCGGCCTACTAGCGAGTATCTTCCTCGTGAGGTCGCCCCTCTTCGTTGCTGAGTCTTAACGAGCAAATAGTCCGCCCGTCCTTCCAAAACCGTCCTACCCTATCTAAAAGAAAATCATCCTAGTGATTTAGCCCGATATCAATGCCCAACGAAAGATATGGCTCACGTGTGCAGCCCTCAAGAAATCGAAAAGGCGCTATCCCTTGACTACCCATGCAGTTTCGGGGAGACGTCTGGGCAGAGTATCTAGGAGTGTAACAGCGTCAAGCCATTGCTTATTGGCGCATTGAATGCCGTGAACGTGTATAAAATTGTCAAGTAGGTGACAAAAATGCAAAAATGCAGTGATTACTACACTGCGGCTCAAAAAACAGATGAAAATGGAACAGTTTTGTTACGTCGTATCAGGCGGGGCCGAAAAATGTGGGCAAGTGCAACAACGATCTCGATCTTTTTTGCGAGTGCATGTGTTACCCTTGCTGCAAATAACTTGGCTTCATGCAATCCAACCCGTTTGTGTGTCTCATTCCTTTGCAACTCTCTTTCTCCTTGTGTTTTCTTTTCTCTCCTGCCATGCACATGTTTGTGACCTTTTCAGATGTAATGTACGCCGGCGTACAATTTACCCGCGTGCTGTGCCAGGTGTAGCTGAGATGGCGTTACCCTCAATGGGAGTTGTAACACTTTTCTATCAATGCACGCGACCTCACTGCTCTTTGAACCACCATGGCATCATTTTTTCCTTTGCTAGTTATTCTTGTCTTGGGGGCACGTACTGATGCCTTCTTTGTCCATCACCCCTATCGACAGAAAGCTTTCTGGCCACGCGCCCTGCATATATCTTTTTCCTCAGAACACCATGAAGATCTTCACGACCTCTGCAGCATGCCTGGCCCTCATGATGGCCCCCTTGTCCCTGATCAAGGCTGCCACAAGCATGGAAGACCTTGAGAAGATGGAGTCCTGGAGCTACATCCACGTGAGTAGTTTTTCTCATTCGTAGTGTTTTCTTTCACGATCGCTTTGGCCTGCCATCCTGGATACGATCTTCCGGTTGGGCCTGTTCCGTATCTCCTCACTTTCTGGCATATTGTGCCATGGATTGCCTGTAAGCATACAGATCAATGGCGTATGTTACACATAAGTGGTAGTCCGTGACGTAGGAGTGTGTCATTGGTTGGGTGGGCCGTGAGACCTTCCGTCAGAAATCCCATGTGTTCTGTGGAGGAAGACACGCCTTGTCCTCACCCTGCATGGCTTCAATTCTTACAGAATGTGAACTACGCACCCTGTGACGACGCGGACGCCAAGTCTTTCGGGTGCTGCGGGAAGCCCGAAGACGGGAAGGAGCGATGCGGTCCCGACAACTGGATCCATATCAATGAGACCACGACCACCACCTGCGCCAACGTGAAGGGAAACCAACAGAGGTCCGCCCGGTGTCCTTGTCATTATACCACCTTGTGTATTTTTTATCCATTCCTCCTTCTTCGCATGTCCTTCGACAAATGCTCCCTGCATAATCCCTCTCATCCTCCCTAATGTCATTGTGAACCTCCACTTCCCCGCCTTCCAGCCCCATCAACATCCAAACCGTGGGCACCACCCTCACGCCCATGGACAAGGCGGACGGGACCATGTCCTTCTCCGGGCACACGTGCGAAGCCTTCATTGAGTTCAAGGAGGGGACGTGGGAGGTGGTTATCCCTGACACGTGCACCTTCCAAGCCAAGATCGGGGGCACCGACTACAAACTCCTCCAGTTCCACTTCCACAACGCGGAGCACTCCATCAACTTCTCCTACATGCCGCTGGAGGTCCATCTCGTCCACGCCAAGGTAGACAGTCCCAAGGACATCGCCGTCCTCTCCGTCTTCCTCGCGCCCGGGGCCTCCTCCACGTTCTTTGAGACCCTGCAGGCGAACGAGGCGCAGGCAGACCCCGACCACCCCGACCTGGCCACCAAGAACAAGATCAACGCCTACGACATCCTCCCCGAGGACCACTCCTTCTGGCACTACGTGGGCTCCCTCACCACCCCTCCCTGCCAGACCGAGAAGGGACAGTCTGTGAACTGGTAGGTATCCGGCCCGCGAGATTGGGGGGCGATGCTCTCTTTTTCTCCTTCCTTCTACATCTTTCCGTTCGAGACTTCCGAATCTTCTTTCGTAGAAGACACTAGGCACGGCGATGCGCTCGAGAGGCGTTGTGATTTCCATCTTTTAGATATCCAG